ATAACCATGTCTGCACCAGCCGTAGGAGGGTCAGACACTATCAGTATGATAACCATGTCTACACCAGCCGTAGGAGGGTCAGACACTACCAGTATGATAACCATGTCTGCATCAGCTGTAGGAGGGTCAGACACTATCATTATGATAACCATGTCTACACCAGCCATAGGAGGGTCAGACACTACCAGTATGATAACCATGTCTACACCAGTCATAGGAGGGTCAGACACTACCAGCATGATAACCATGTCTACACCAGTCATAGGAGGGTTAGACACTATCAGTATGATAACCATGTCTACACCAGTCGTAGGAGGGTCAGACACTACCAGTATGATAACTATGTCTACACCAGTCGTAGGAGGGTCAGACACTCCCAGTATGATAACCATGTCTACACCAGTCGTAGGAGGGACAGACACTACCAGTATGATAACCATGTCTACACCAGTCTAAGGAGGGACAGACACTACCAGTATGATAACCATGTCTACCCCAGCCGTAGGAGGATCAGACACTACCAGTATGATAGCCATGTCTACACCAGTCGTTATTCCTTTCATGAACAGTAAAACCTAATCATTCTGTCTCCCTTCGTTCAGCAGAATTATAGAAGGGTTTAGAACTATATTGAGGTCGATATGAAGAAGTTTGCAAAACAAGAAAAGTGGATTACTTGAAGCATATATAGCGTGTGGTAATGGTACTGGTCTGACCCAGATTTGAAAAAGGTGGTTGAATATTAACGTGCCATAATGTTAACCGACAAGGAATATGTAGTCTTGAATAAAAAGTTGGTTCAAAGTTGATGACTAGTTAGCCCGAGTTTCATCTGGCACAGACAGCAGTTGTACATCTGTCTGTCAAAATGTCTAAGTCTGGTGTCAGGGCCAGAGGAAACTCAGGCTACACCAGACTTCTGTCTGTCAAAATGTCTAAGTCTGGTGTACATGTGGGGCCAGAGGAGACTCAGGCTACACCAGACATCTGTCTGTCTACACCAGACATCTGTCTGTCAAAATGTTTAAGTCTGGTGTCTGGGCCAGAGGAAACTCAGGCTACACCAGACTTCTGTCTGTCAAAATGTCTAAGTCTGGTGTCTGGGCCAGAGGAAACTCAGGCTACACCAGACTTCTGTCTGTCAAAATGTCTAAGTCTGGTGTCAGGGCCAGAGGAAACTCAGGCTACACCAGACTTCTGTCTGTCAAAATGTCTAAGTCTGGTGTGGGGACAGAGGAAACTCAGGCTACACCAGACATCTGTGTGTCAAAATGTCTAAGTCTGGTGTACATGTGGGGCCAGAGGAAACTTAGGCTACACCAGACATCTGTCTGGCTACACCAGACATCTGTCTGTCAAAATGTTTTGACACCAGTCTGGTGTGGGGCAGGGGAAACTCAAGCAACACCAGACATCTGTCTGTCAAAACGTCTAAGTCTGGTGTGGGGGCCAGAGGAAATTCAGGCTACACCAGACATCTGTCTGTCAAAATGTTTAAGTGCCCGAGTTTCATCTGGCACAGACAGCAGTTGTACATCTGTCTGTCAAAATGTCTAAGTCTGGTGTGGGGCCGGAGGAAACTCAGGCTACGCCAGACATCTGTCTGTCAAAATGTCTAAATCTGGTGTGGGGCCAGAGGAAACTCAGGCTAATGACTGTCAAAATGTTTAAGTCTGGTGTCGGGGCCAGAGGAAACTCGGGCTACACCAGACATCTGTCTGTCAAAACATCTAAGTCTGGTGTGGGGCCAGATGAAACTCAGGCTACATCAGACATCTGTCTGTTAAAATGTCTAAGTCTGGAGTTGGGGTCAGAGGAAACTCAGGCTACACCAGACATCTGTGTGTCAAAATGTCTAAGTCTGGTGTGGGGCCGGAGGAAACTCAGGCTACGCCAGACATCTGTCTGTCAAAACATCTAAGTCTGGTGTGGGGCCAGAGGAAACTCAGGCTAGACCAGACATCTGTCTGTTAAAATGTCTAAGTCTGGAGTTGGGGTCAGAGGAAACTCAGGCTACACCAGACATCTGTGTGTCAAAATGTCTAAGTCTGGTGTGGGGCCAGAGTAAACTCAGGCTACACCAGACATCTGTCTGTTAAAATGTCAAAGTCTGGTGTCAGGGCCAGAGGAAACTCACGCTACACCGGACATCTGTCTGCCAAAATGTCTAAGTATGGTGTGGGGCCAGAGGAAACTCAGGCTCCACCAGACATCTGTCTGTCAAAATGTCTAAGTCTGGGGTGGGGCCAGAGGAAACTCAGGCTACACCGTTGATGACTAGTTAGCCCGAGTTTCATCTGGCACAGACAGCACTTGTACATCTGTCTGTCAAAATGTCTAAGTCTGGGGTGGGGCCAGAGGAAACTCAGGCTACACCGTTGATGACTAGTTAGCCCGAGTTTCATCTGGCACAGACTGCAGTTGTACATCTGTCTGTCAAAATGTCTAAGTCTGATGTCAGGGCCAGAGGAAACTCACGCTACACCGGACATCTGTCTGTCAAATTGTCTAAGTATGGTGTGGGGCCAGAGGAAACTCAGGCTACAACAGACATCTGTCTGTCAAAACGTCTAAGTCTGGTGTGGGGGCCAGAGGAAATTCAGGCTACACCAGACATCTGTCTGTCAAAACGACTAAGTCTGGTGTGGGGCCAGAGGAAACTCAGGGTACACCAGACATCTGTCTGTCAAAACGTCTAAGTCTGGTGTTGGGGCCAGAGGAAATTCAGGCTACACCAGACATCTGTCTGTCAAAATGTCTAAATCTGGTGTCTGGGCCAGAGGAAACTCAGGCTATACCATACATCTGTCTGTCAAAATGTCTAAGTCGGGTGTGGGGCCAGAGTAAACTCAGGCTACATCAGATATCTGCCTGTCAAAACGTCTTAGTCTGGTGTGGGGCCATAGGAAACTCAGGCTACACCAGACGTCTGTCTGTTAAAATGTCAAAGTCTGGTGTCAAGGCCAGAGGAAACTCAGGCTACACCATACATCTGTCTGTCAACATGTCTTAGTCTGGTGTGGGGCCAGAGTAAACTCAGGCTACATCAGATATCTGTCTGTCATAACGTCTTAGTCTGGTGTGGGGCCATAGGAAACTCAGGCTACACCAGACGTCTGTCTGTTAAAATGTCAAAGTCTGGTGTCAAGGCCAGAGGAAACTCAGGCTACACCTGACATCTGTCTGTCAAAACGTCTAAGTCTGGTGCCCCCCCAGAGGAGACTCAGGCTACACCAGACATCTGTCTGTTAAAATGTCAAAGTCTGGTGTCAAGGCCAGAGGAAACTCAGGCTACACCATACATCTGTCTGTCAAAATGTCTTAGTCTGGTGTGGGCCCAGAGGAAACTCAGGCTACATCAGACATCTGTCTGTTAAAATGTCTAAGTCTGGTGTTGGGGCCAGAGGAAATTCAGGCTACACCAGCCATCTGTCTGTCAAAATGTCTAAATCTGGTGTCGGGGCCAGAGGAAACTCAGGCTACTCCAGACATCTGTCTGTCAAAATGTTTAAGTCTGGTGTCTGGGCCAGAGGGAACTTAGGCTACATCAGATATCTGTCTGTCAAAATGTCTAAGTCTGGTGTGGGGCCAGAGGAAACTCAGGCTACATCAGATATCTGTCTGTCAAAACGTCTTAGTCTGGTGTGGGGCCATAGGAAACTCAGGCTACACCAGACGTCTGTCTGTTAAAATGTCAAAGTCTGGTGTCGGGGCCAGAGGAAACTCGGGCTACACCAGACATCTATCTGTCAAAACGTCTTAGTCTGGTGTGGGGCCAGAGGAAACTCAGGCTAATGACTAGTAAGCTAATTTGGCTGCAACCAGATTTTAATGAGAATCCTAAGGGAGGTGGCAGATAAAACAAGCGGCATCGTATCATGGTTTTACCTCAAACTTCTGTTACTGACTTGATAGAATACTTTTCCTTGTAATGTCCAAATATATCACTGATAATCCCAGGGACAAACACCTTCAAAATATAGTGAACAATGGTTAAGACATTAACCTGAATGTGACCCTATGAATGTATGATGACATTAGTGGTTGTGGCAGACATGACATTTTTCTAAGATTTTTATTAAATGGATTTAATAATTGCAGCAATGCTACTTAAGTTTATACTGTATACATTTTGATAATAGATATTGCAAAAAACTGTAAAACGTATTTGTAAAAATATTTTTCCCCTCACTTGTTATAACTGAACTTAATAGTTAAACAATCATAGCATGGCAACCATTAAGGAATAACAGTCAATGCCAGGCTTCTGTAAAATAGAAAAAAATGTACCAAAATGAAAATACACAGCAGCAAAATCTGAACTCAATATGGATGGGAGAAGACAACAGGAACTGATGAGATACCAAAACAGAAGAAAATACAACAGGAACCAAGGACACATTGAAATGGAACAAAAGACATGATGAACACAGGAAAAGCTTTACATTATAAGATTGATAACCTCAACAATTACCAGATTTATAGGTCATTTATTTCTAAAACACAAACATTAATTATTCACTATAACGATGCAGGGACACATTTGCCATATCTGTCCCGTGGATACCAGTGTGGGTCCAGATCGGTAGTTGGGGCACATACCAATCCAGGTCTACATGGACACAGGCCGTGGAAGTTTACAGAGTCCACAGAATAATCCGTCCCAATGGTACACCAGGTGGCGTTGATGTCTTTGTATGGGAGACAGTAGTGAACATTGAAATCCTTGTCTAGGTTCTGACGTTTGTTTGGAACTCCCAGATGGCGTTTCCCAAAAGCTGGTGTGATGGAGCAACAGAGAAGAGGGTGACCACACTCTGCATTTGTCTCACAGTATTTCTGGAAGTTTGTTGTCATATCCTGAGACAGAAATCAACAAAAGGTCCTTCAAATGTCAACGTTCACTGTTAGCACATTAATTGGTACTAGCCACTGGTCTTACATATACAGTATAAAGTCATCTGAATGGAAAGGTTATTTATTGAACATGTAAGGTTGGACTAGAAATTTGGGGAGCATTTTAAATCTTTCATCTACAATGTGGATATGTATGTACCTATATAGCTTCTTAATTGTTCCAGTAAATTTTTAAATTCAGAGTTTGGAAGAGGTAAGGTAAAATGATCTGTCAAGGGTCAACAAAAGTTGTAATGGGTATTGGGTCAATGAGATGAATGTACTGTTACTGGTGTTAGAAACTGTTTCAGTACTTTAGGAGTGTTAGCTGGTTTCACCATTATTATCATTTCAAATAATGAAAGATTTTTATGTTTTTCTTAAGAACCATGATCATGATGATCAGGTAATCCTTTTCTAACACTGTTAAAAATTGATCACAACCTTTGGGTGATCAGAAGCAGTGGACCCCGATTAACGTGAAAGGTATGGGGATCATCTGCACTAGGATTTTCTCTGGGTCTAACCATAGGAGTGATTATTATAAACTGTTAAAACTTGTAACACAAATGTTTTGAAATAAATAATACATTATCCTATGGTTCTCTACTTAATTGAGTTTAGTCACCAGAGTCCAATCTTCTTCAAATTCTCACCTGATCAGAAACAACCAGCAAGGCCATTATTGATACAAAAAGTACGGTCCACATTCTGTGACAAGTTTAAGTTAGGACTATAAATCTTCAGTCCTTCAGAAACTTTGTGGTTTAAATAGGTCATTCATGTACCTTATCTCAGTTCACTGTCAACAGGTTTTACTTGACGATTTGTTAGCTTGACACTATTTTATTTGATGATATAAAACAAATCTGGTGCATATATATATCATAACAAGAGATACATGTACCTTTAGGATGACATCATAGAGACACATATGTCATTTAGTTACTGTCCTCTACTAAGCCTTTTATATCATCAATGTATAAAATATTCAGAAAAATATTTGTACATGTAGCAGCCTATTGCAAGGTGCTTTACATGGTTTATCAGTTCTTGTCTTTGTTTATTAGTATATAGAACTACTGATTACATGTGTAGATATTACTGTAAATTAATGTCGTTACTAATTTAGTAACGAATGTTTCTCTTTCTCTACAGAAATCACAAGTGGGGTTGTTGGATGCGGACATACATGGCCCGTCTATACCCTGTATGATGAACCTACAGGGGGAGCCAGAACTAAACAATCGTAGGTTTACTAGACAGATCGAAACAATCATAGGTTTACTAGACAGATCGCAACAATCGTAGGTTTACTAGACAGATTGAAACAATCGTAGGTTTACTAGACAGATAAAAACAATCGTAGGTTTACTAGACAGATCACAACAATCGTAGGTTTACTAGACAGCTCACAATAACCACGAGTTAATGCAGCACAATCATAGGTTTACTAGACAGATCGAAACAACCACGAGTTAATGCAGCACAATTGTGACAATTTCGTGTGATTTTTTAGTTGATGACCTTAAAGGTTCATTAATTATGACATCCTTATATATATAAATATTGGGATGATGATTAAACTTTTGTATGAGTTCTGGTACACAAATTACTAGGTAGTTACTGTGCTTAATAATTTAGGAAGCATACAATCATCCCTTTGTCTGTCTGTGTTTCAATTTCTCTGTGTAAAATAATGCAATTTTTGAAGCAAAGCGTAAAATATGATATTGCAATTGTAGTATTGTCATAGAGAGAACACTAACCTGCTGATTGGAATAATACGCTTAGTAACATTGAGTCCTAAATATACTGAACTATTGACTTATGTGACCATGTCAGGGGGAACCAGGCCATATCTATGTAACAGAATATTAGGTATTCAGTCCTAAATAAGCGCCAACATTTCACTATAGGTTTTGCTGAAGGTGTTTAATAATTCAGTAAAGTTATTCTTTTCATCGTATTTGTTGTCTTTGCAGAAAATCTTATGAAACCACTGGTGAACTTTGGCATAAAATGGTACGTATTATTTATCCTAATTCAAATCAAGAATGAATTGTAAGGAATCACATGAAAATTAAAAAAATAATTAAAAGATGAAAACTTGCATGCTTGTGTTTGAGCATCTTAACATATTTATAGCAAACGTTTCTTCATTGTAAGTCATATTTCCTTCCTTTGGGGGATTTTTGGCAATAACATAACACTATTATAAATTTTGTGTAAAACTGATTTTCAAGGTCCCTTTGATTTGTGTAGATGTCTTAGGCTACATGTCTTTGTATTGTGGGGTTATTTTAATGTCAGCATGTCGATGGGGTTCTTGGTGGATGAAAAACAAGCAATTGTTTGGCGGGGACCAATGGTGATGTCTGCAGTACAGAAACTTCTAAGGCAAGTACGTAACTCAAGGTCAAGGTTAAATAACATTCTTAAATCCAGCTCAAGTACGTAACTCAAGGTCAAAGTTGAAAAACATTCCTAGATCTAGCTCTCAATTAGGCAAGTAACTCAAGGTTCAAGTGTAAGTGCATTATTAGATCTAGCTCCTTGGGTAAGTAAGTAAGTCAAGGTCAAGGTTGAAGAATGTTAATTGTTAGGTCAGGTTCCTCAGGCAAGTACCTAACTCAAGAACAAGGTTGAAGTTTATTGTTAGATCTAGCTCCTTAGGTAAGTTAACAACTCAAGATCAAGGTCGAAGCACATTGTTTGGTCCACCACTTTAACAAATTGAGTCTCAAGCATATAATAGATATATATTGTAAAGGAATGTAAGACACAGTGTCTTTCAAATTGTAGTGGTATTAACATGAAGCATTTAAGGTTATTAAATTTGAAAAAAAAATAGAATTGATGAAAAAATTGGTGGGACCAGAAACACTAATTGATAAAGAGGTAATCTAACACATTGAACCTGCCGAATAATCCAAGCTATTTTATTTAAATGATTAAAGTCTGTAATATCAGTGCATGACTGTATATATGAAGTACACATCGTGATGACTGTGTGTATCACTAGTTGTACTGGAGATGAGGACGTCTGTGTTGACAGGTAACATGGGGCCCCCTGGACTACCTTGTGGTGGACATGCCTCCCGGAACAGGGGACACACAGCTCTCACTCTCCCAAAACATACCCATCTCAGGTAAGACAATCAAGGTCAAGTCAAGGTGACAACATACCTATCTCTGATTAATTAAGGTCAAGTCAAGGTGACAACATACCTATCTCTGATTAATCAAGGTCAGGTTAAGGCGACAGAAAGAACATGACAATATCNCATTTTACAATACTATTACGATGGTATAATACATAGCATTACATTCACACATACCGTGCGTTCTAGTATGTCAAGGTCGCAGGATAAAAAAATCTCAGGTCAAGGGTACAGAACATGCCCATCTCTGATAGGTCAAGGTCAGGTTAAGGCCAAGGACAGAACATGACAGTATCTTGTTAGTAAAGGTGACATGACAAACAAATTTCAGGTCAAGGTCACAGAATATTCCCATCTCTAATAAGTTAAGGTCAAGTCAAGTTAACAGGATTTTCTAATCTCTTGAAAGTCCAGATCAGGTCAACATCACAAAACTTAACAATGTGTGGTCAGTCAAGGCCAGGTCATCGTCACAAAAATATTGATTTCTGGATAGTCCAGGTTTGGTCAAGATCACAAGTCCTAATACCAATCTCATGATTATATGACTATCCCTATCTCTGATAAATTAGATTATATCAAGGTCACATTATATTCTGATCTCTGAAAGGTCAAAGCATCCTTATGTCTAGTGAGTTAATTGATAAAATTAATTTTTAGGTCACCTGAGATATGGTAGAATCAAATACTCTTCATAGATGGAAGGGTCTTAAGGTGCTTTACCAAAATTGTGAATTTCTTGACCCTGGGGTGTCACGTTTTCCCCTGGGGAGGGGGTAAACTTTACTATAGTTTATATAGGGAAATCACATTTCGGACCAACATTTGTTTAATTTCCATTGGAAGTAATTCAATTTGGGTTAGCATTATCAGTATTGGATAGCAGTTTGATGGTATGCACATATGAGCCCTGACTGACCCCCCCAGGGCTGATGGGTGGGGCCAAAAAGGGTTGAATTGACTGAAATTTCAAAAATCTTCGTCTCAAAGACCCAGATATGGTAGAATCAAACACTCTTCATAGATGGAAGGGTCTTAAGGTTTATGACCCTAGGGTCTCACGTTTACCTCCTGGGGAAGGAGGGAGGGGGGCAAAATTTATAATGGTTTATAATGGCAAATGATACTTTGAATATTACATGTTAATAACTTGATTGGAATTATAACCCTGAGTTGACAGTTTGATACTTTTAATAATAATATTTCTGTTCATGTTAAAAACCAAATCAACTCTCTGTATAAATATATCAGGTGACCATTAAGGCCCATGGGCCTCTTGTTCTTTATAAAGACCATTTTATACAAAATATATGTTGTGGTTGATGTAATCTGTTCAGCGTATATAGCAAGATTTCTCCCAGAACATCCCCCATATGTTGTGTAAGTAGAGACCACAGTTGTATATTACACAGGTGCAGTGATTGTATCCACACCCCAAGACATAGCCCTACTAGACGCACGGCGGGGTGCGGAAATGTTCCGTAAGGTAGAGGTTCCAGTACTTGGACTCGTCCAGAACATGAGTGTGTATGTCTGTCCAAAGTGTGGCCATGCAGAGCATATCTTTGGTCAGGATGGTGCTGCCACAATAGCCTCAGACATGGGACTTAGTGTCCTGGGTATGTTTGTTACCATAGAAACTTGATGTAATTTGACTGCCCCCCTGGTGTGAAATTGTTTGACATATCTAATCTCATATTGGTATCTGCAACTCAATAAAACATGGCATAATTTATTACGATTTAAGTTTTTGGAAAAAGAGAAGTTATTTTTTGCACAACTTATAAAAATACCAATGAATACAAACAATAAAAATAAAATAAACGTTTTTGGCTGATAACCGAAATTAAAAAAATATATCTTAATATGGTAATAATCTAGAATACCTTATTTAAGTCTTTTTTAAATCATCCTGATATTTTCTTACTGATCGATATCAGAGTGAAAAAAAATACAAGAATCGTGATTTTGTGTTTGTAGGGGACGTACCCCTGCACATCTGTATCAGAGAGGGTAGTGACAATGGACAGCCGGTGGTGGTGTCAAAGCCGCAGTCTCCACAAGTAAGTCAAGTGTGACAGTATCTCTGTCTCCCAACAAGGCACTGATCTTAGAAGGCAGATATTTGTCTTATAACACAAGACTTTTCTATATGGCATTAACAGGTTAACAGTAGATGATACTTGGTTGACCCTTTTTCTTAATTGAGAACTTCATCAGAAAATTTAATCCAGGTGTGTTATATAATATCTGGATTCATTGAAACTTGAGGTTTGGAGGACAGTATGCTGCCATATTGGATTTCAAAGCAAAGACTGAAAATGTTGCTATTCACATCTCTTTGTCAATTATCAACATAGACAAATACACATATTTAAGGTTAAATACTAGATCCTACAATTATAAAATAATCCTGACTTTGTACTCGACCAGTTAAAATTATTCCCCACTCATGGTAGGCAAAATAGAGCAATTTTGTGGTAACTGATGGTTGGAGGTGGACATTCTACCGATTAAAACAAGCACTACGTGCCATGATATAGGATACTATTAGATATACAAAAAAGAAAATACTGTTACTATTATGAAATATAAATTTTTCACCTATTATAAATGGTTAATGGTCTATTTTTTTCTATTATATCTACCGGGGAAATCATTTCCTTTTGGGTTACTTTTGAAAAGTGTATTAAATAGTCCTTTACCGTGTTTCAGGCCTTGGCTTACAGACAGATAGCAGAACAGGTCACAGAAAAACTATCTTCTACACCTCCAATAGATCCATCTCCACAAAGCCAACATTTCTCAAGTTCTCACAAAGACGGTTCATAAAGGAATGATCAGCAATCAAATATTTAGTATAATAATGTAATTTGTGTAGGAATATATTATAATGTTTTACGATAATATCTTTTTTCAGTTATAAATATTATTTCTTTGTACAAGTTATTTAACAGTTTGACTTGTGTGTTATTCAACAATCAAATAATCACATACTTGATAAAGAATTATGGTTTTAGATGATCCATGAGTTAGGCTACCAGGTGATAGTCAGTAACTTCAGTCTGTGATTGTTTATTATGTCAGTTTACATTTAACCCATTCACCCCTCATATCACATTTGAATCATTCTAAATCAATATTGGCATAGTCCGTTTTCAAATGGAGTCTACAAGAAATTTCAGATTTATCACATCTCTCTGCCAGTCTGAGTTGTAAATTTGTTGTAGGCGCATTTCTTTTTTAGAAGACATGCACTAAAATTGTGGTACTATAAACTAAATGACATCCCACCAAGTGGATTACTGTGTTTTCATTATTTGTTATTTCATCACGAGCGTTTTAAAATGGAAACCTAAGCAGTTGAAGGGAGATAATTTAGGAAAATTGTACTAAATTAAAGTCAATCCCTTTCACCCACAAATAGTAAAGGTTCTACAGACTGTTAAGGAGCTGTTTCGATATTCTGTGTGCATCAATTCATATAACACAGATCTTTACATATTTTAATGATTTTATTTGGTATGAAATGTGTGCTTTACAGATTATTAAGAGTTTTAATTAAATTTCAACCAATCTTTCCCTCAAGAAAACAGTTATTCATAATCTATAAAGGTTTTTTGAGATTTTTATTCAATACTGATCAACCCTAAGATTGAATAAATACTGATATGGTTATAAAGCTTCTGAAGATTTGTTATTAAACTCAGTACATCTGCTTCCACTAATTGGTTGGTAATTTCCATTATTTAAGAACACTCTATTAGACCTACTTGTGATATCAAAATAATCATGACAGTAAGTGAACGTATGTATCAAAGAACTGCAGAAACACATTACATCACCATAAAATAAAAAACAAACATTACAATGATGATTAACAGGTTTTAATTTAAACACTCTGAAAAAGAACACATTTTTTCAACATTGCAAAATAACTTAATAAAGCACTTTTATTACAAAATAACATTGTACATTTTATGTACCAAGAATTAGACACACACAAAAAAACAGTGAAACATTAAACATATTTCTTATAGAAAAGAGACAGCACTCAAGCTAGCATTGATATTCTTATGCCTGTGAATTTGTTTCGATGAAGAGCCGTAGCTATGGTCCCTTGCTACTCTGAAACTGACCTAGTTGAGACCTGTCTAACCTGAACGTTTACTTTTTGTAACCGTTTTGGGATTATCCACCATACTGTTAAGGTTCTCGTGGACCAGTCACATTCAAATTGTGACGAATATTCTCACATGGTTTTTCGACTGACACTTGTCACCTTGTTGAAATGGCCACCATAATAAGCAACACCTTGTTTCAGCAGAAATCTGTTCCATATATCATAAACATTTTTTTAATGTTTCATGAACCAAAACAAACCAGACAGTAACTTAGGAATGGATTTTTGTTTTGTTTTTATGAATGCAAATATAAGGATTGTAATGCAGATCTTTCACATTTACGATGGTTGACCAGGTCACTTAATACATATTCTCCCAAGATGCATTACTGCCATCATGGAAAGTTTTTAGGCAACTGGACTCCTTTCAACATAAATGTCCAGAACATACATCTCAAGCCCTACATGAATATTTGTTGGTCCATTCAGGTAAATGTCTCACATTTCCAGCAGTGCAGATAAAACATCGAGCTGTACATGTCAAATTTAACCAAAACGTAAAATCATGAAGATTTGTAGTTGTGACCTCAGTAACCTTAGCTGCGACCCTTAGGAGGTCCCAACTTTTACAAGTTTCAATAGGTATTCAGGGATTGTAGCTCTCTGGCTGTCAGTCAGAGTAGATACACAGACCAATTAGCTAAGGTATCTACAGCTTGGTTATTGTAGGCTAGCTCTCTGGCTGTCAGTCAGAATAGATACACAGACCATTGAGCTGGGGTATCCACAGCTTGGTTATTGTAGGCTAGCTCTAGATCTCTGGCTGTCAGTCAGAGTAGATACACAGACCAATGAGCTGGGGTATCTACAGCTTGGTTATTGTAGGCTAGCTCTCTGGCTGTCAGTCAGAGTAGATACACAGACCAATGAGCTGGGGTATCTACAGCTTGGTTATTGTAGGCTAGCTCTCTGGCTGTCAGTCAGAGTAGATACACAGACCAATGAGCTGGGGTATCCACAGCTTGGTTATTGTAGGCTAGCTCTCTGGCTGTCAGTCAGAGTAGATACACAGACCAATGAGCTGGGGTATCCACAGCTTGGTTATTGTAGGCTAGCTCTCTGGCTGTCAGTCAGAGTAGATACACAGACCAATGAGCTGGGGTATCCACAGCTTGGTTATTGTAGGCTAGCTCTCTGGCTGTCAGTCAGAGTAGATACACAGACCAATGAGCTGGGGTATCCACAGCTTGGTTATTGTAGGCTAGCTCTCTGGCTGTCAGTCAGAGTAGATACACAGACCAATGAGCTGGGGTATCCACAGCTTGGTTATTGTAGGCTAGCTCTCTGGCTGTCAGTCAGAGTAGATACACAGACCAATGAGCTGGGGTATCCACAGCTTGGTTATTGTAGGCTAGCTCTCTGGCTGTCAGTCAGAGTAGATACACAGACCAATGAGCTGGGGTATCCACAGCTTGGTTATTGTAGGCTAGCTCTCTGGCTGTCAGTCAGAGTAGATACACAGACCAATGAGCTGGGGTATCCACAGCTTGGTTATTGTAGGCTAGCTCTCTGGCTGTCAGTCAGAGTAGATACACAGACCAATGAGCTGGGGTATCCACAGCTTGGTTATTGTAGGCTAGCTCTCTGGCTGTCAGTCAGAGTAGATACACAGACCAATGAGCTGGGGTATCCACAGCTTGGTTATTGTAGGCTAGCTCTCTGGCTGTCAGTCAGAGTAGATACACAGACCAATGAGCTGGGGTATCCACAGCTTGGTTATTGTAGGCTAGCTCTCTGGCTGTCAGTCAGAGTAGATACACAGACCAATGAGCTGGGGTATCCACAGCTTGGTTATTGTAGGCTAGCTCTCTGGCTGTCAGTCAGAGTAGATACACAGACCAATGAGCTGGGGTATCCACAGCTTGGTTATTGTAGGCTAGCTCTCTGGCTGTCAGTCAGAGTAGATACACAGACCAATGAGCTGGGGTATCCACAGCTTGGTTATTGTAGGCTAGCTCTCTGGCTGTCAGTCAGAGTAGATACACAGACCAATGAGCTGGGGTATCCACAGCTTGGTTATTGTAGGCTAGCTCTCTGGCTGTCAGTCAGAGTAGATACACAGACCAATGAGCTGGGGTATCCACAGCTTGGTTATTGTAGGCTAGCTCTCTGGCTGTCAGTCAGAGTAGATACACAGACCAATGAGCTGGGGTATCCACAGCTTGGTTATTGTAGGCTAGCTCTCTGGCTGTCAGTCAGAGTAGATACACAGACCAATGAGCTGGGGTATCCACAGCTTGGTTATTGTAGGCTAGCTCTCTGGCTGTCAGTCAGAGTAGATACACAGACCAATGAGCTGGGGTATCCACAGCTTGGTTATTGTAGGCTAGCTCTCTGGCTGTCAGTCAGAGTAGATACACAGACCAATGAGCTGGGGTATCCACAGCTTGGTTATTGTAGGCTAGCTCTCTGGCTGTCAGTCAGAGTAGATACACAGACCAATGAGCTGGGGTATCTACAGCTTGGTTATTGTAGGCTAGCTCTCTGGCTGTCAGTCAGAGAAGATACACAGATTAATGAGCTGGGGTATCCACAGCTTGGTTATTGTAGGCTAGCTCTCTGGCTGTCAGTCAGAGTAGATACACAGACCAATGAGCTAGGGTACCCACAGCTTGGTTATTGTAGGCTAGCTCTCTGGCTGTCAGTCAGAGTAGATACACATACCAATGAGCTGGGGTATCCACAGCTAGGTTATTGTAGGCTAGCTCTCTGGCTTTCAGTCAGAGTAGATACACAGACCAATGAGCTGGGGTATCTACCACTTGGTTATTGTAGGCTAGCTCTCTGGCTGTCAGTCAGAGTAGATACACAGACCAATGAGCTGGGGGATCCACAGCTAGGTTATTGTAGGCTAGCTCTCTGGCTTTCAGTCAGAGTAGATACACAGACCAATGAGCTGGGGTATCTACCACTTGGTTATTGTAGGCTAGCTCTCTGGCTGTCAGTCAGAGTAGATACACAGACCAATGAGCTGGGGGATCCACAGCTTGGTTATTGTAGGCTAGCTCTCTGGCTGTCAGGGTATCCACAGCTTGGTTATTGTAGGCTAGCTCTAGATCTCTGGCTGTCAGTCAGAGTAGATACACAGACCAATGAGCTGGGGGATCCACAGCTAGGTTATTGTAGGCTAGCTCTCTGGCTGTCAGTCAGAGTAGATACACAGATTAATGAGCTGGGGTATCCACAGCTTGGTTATTGTAGGCTAGCGCTCTGGCTGTCGGTCAGAGTAGATACACAGACCAATGAGCTGGGGTATCTACCACTTGGTTATTGTAGGCTAGCTCTCTGGCTGTCAGTCAGAGTAGATACACAGGCCAATGAGCTAAGGTATCTACAGCTTGGTTATTGTAGGCTAGCTCTCTGGCTGTCAGTCAGAGTAGATACACAGACCAATGAGCTGGGGGATCCACAGCTTGGTTATTGTAGGCTAGCTCTCTGGCTGTCAGTCAGAGTAGATACACAGATTAATGAGCTGGGGTATCCACAGCTTGGTTATTGTAGGCTAGCGCTCTGGCTGTCGGTCAGAGTAGATACACAGACCAATGAGCTGGGTATCCACAGCTAGGTTATTGTAGGCTAGCTCTCTGGCTGTCAGTCAGAGTAGATACACATACCAATGAGCTGGGGTATCCACAGCTAGGCTATTGTAGGCTAGCTCACTGGCTGTCAGTCAGAGTAGATACACAGACCAATGAGCTGGGGTATCCACAGCTAGGCTTTTGTAGGCTAGCTCTGGCTGTCAGTCAGAGTAGATACACAGGCAAATGAGCTGGGGTATCTACAGCTTGGTTTTTGTAGACTAGCTCTCTGGCTGTCGGTCAGAGTAGATACGCAGACAATTGAGCTGGGGTATCCACAGCTTGGTTATTGTAGGCTAGCTCTCTGGCTGTCCACAGCTTGGTTATTGTAGGCTAGCTCACTGGCTGTCAGTCAGAGTAGATAAACAGACCAATGAGCTGGGGTATCCACGGCTTGGTTTTTGTAGGCTAGCTCTCTGGCTGTCCACAGCTTGGTTATTGTAGGCTAGCTCTCTGGCTGTCAGTCAGAGTAGATAAACAGACCAATGAGCTGGGGTATCTACAGCTTGGTTATTGTTGGCTAGCTCTCTTGCTGTCAGTCAGAGTAGATACACAGACCAATGAGCTGGGGTATCCACAGTAGATACACAGACCAATGAGCTAGGGTACCCACAGCTTGGTTATTGTTGGCTAACTCTCTTGCTGTCCGTCAGAGTAGATACACATACCAATGAGCTGGGGTATCCACTCTCTGGCTGTCAGTCAGAGTAGATACACAGCCCAATGAGCTGGGGTATCTACAGCTTGGGTATTGTTGGCTAGCTCTCTTGCTGTCAGTCAGATTAGATACACAGACCAATGAGCTGGGGTATCCACAGCTTGGTTATTGTTAGTTGGCAAAACTTTCATCCACGTCCAGAGGAGCCTCCATGAAATATAAACTTTGGAACAAACATACAAACAGCTGTGATCTGCATTTTCTTTCTTTCGGATTTTGATATTGGCATGCCTTTCCAAATTCCTTCTACTTCATGGGGCTGGATCCTTTGCATGTATATGATAGACTTTCAATTGTAAGTGCTCCACTCCATTTTCATTGATGTCTAGAATAGTGCTTACCAATATTTGGTATACTTTTTCTCCAAACAAACTGTTGCACTACTTTTTATTCTGGTAATAAGTTCTTTATAGATCTCATATCTAGATATGTTTTAAGTTGAATAGGAAACTGAATATGCTCAGTACCCTCAATTATAACACCCTTTCCCTTATGGGATGGACACCTATGAAGTACAGTAATCTGGTATGGTAGGATTTCCCTTATGGGATGGACATCTGTGAAGTACATTAATCTGGTATGTTAGGATTTCCCTTATGGGATGGACACCTGTGAAGTACAGTAATCTGGTATGGTAGGATTTCCCTTATTGGATGGACATCTGTGAAGTACAGTAATCTGGTATGGTAGGATTTCCCTTATGGGATGGACACCTGTGAAGTACAGTAATCTGGTATGGTAGGATTTCCCTTATGGGATGGACACCTGTGAAGTACAGTAATCTAGTATGGTAGGATTTCCCTTATGGGATGGACACCTGTGAAGTACAGTTATCTGGTATGGTAGGGTTATTCATTGTAAGAGTTGGGACTGATAAGATTACTAAACACTTTGTTCATGTACAAAAATGTATACCGATAGCCTCCTGTTAGTATATTACTAACTACTGCTGTCTAAGGGACTTGTATCGAACAACAACTTTTACAGTTCATGTCTTAATTTCAAGATTGTATGTTACATTTAATATACTGTATAGGAATATAGGAAGTAATCCAGTTAGCCAGTTGCGTAATACATGTGTTAAATGGTTGATTTTAAACAAGGTGGATACAGGTAAATTATTTGCGTCTAATGACATATTTGTCTGGTCAAATGGCTTTGAATTGGTTAATACATACAAAACATAGGTAACAGGATACTCTCTTTTTGTAGAACTTACTCGTAGTAATTTTTATTTGCAAAGAAAACTATGCATTTAACATGATCTTTTCCTAACAGTTAAAAAAGGAGGGACCAATCTGTGCCCCTGGACCGTCATGTGGTCTTTACTGGTACTGACAAATAAAATATTAATATGACATAACAGACCCCCATATTTTATGATGGTATACATTAGGGCTGTCACAATATATCGGGAAACAGGTATATCGCAATACAAGGGTATATTGTATCGTACCACAATACAGAGATGTGAAATATTGCCGTATCGCAATATTTTTCAAAAGCAAATTTGTATGTATCTGCGTGGTGTTTTAACTTTAACATTACTACAAATTCTAACAGATATGCCAATAAGCATAAAACAGGCTTTTAGTAGTGGTTGGAATTAGTTCAAATTTTGTAATCGATGGTTGGTTTGACAAAAATCTTAAATCTATGTGATCTATATTAAATATGATTAAGTTTGATAACATTCTGACAACAACTTATTATAAAATTGAGCACATCCTTCCTATGACAATATATCAGGATATGTATCACAATATATTCATTCTGTATGGCAATATATTGTGATACACTCTCGGCGTATTGTGACACCCCTAGTATACGTGTAGTAGAAATTGTTTTCTTGACAGTAACTTACATATGTAGATGCATACATAATTCACCAAATATATTTTACAAACTTTAAACACTTTTTGCCTAACTGACCAAGCCTGTACTTAACATAATTTAGGCAAGCATACAGCTACATACAAACACATAAAGACAACAGTTATATACTTTCTGTATGTATAAATTAAAACATGCATATTTTGGGTTTTGACAATTGCATTGCAAAAATTGTAACATGAAAGACTTAATATTGCTTGTAGACATGTATATAGTGTTAAAAGAGTAATTTTTACTATCGTTATAATTTTGCCTTGGGTCTTTTTTGCATTGAAAAAGACAATTCTGATAAGTGTAAAACAAAATCCCCAAGACTTGTCAGACACTTAAACTAAATCAAATCTTTCTGTACCTGATAAAGATTTTTTTCTGAATTAATTTATTGAAAATAAATTATTTTCTTGACATCATTAGCCCTCTAAATCAGGAGATCAGAGAGTTGGACTTTTGATGTCATAACATACCATGGTACAGAAAGAGTCAAGTAAAGTCTCTTCTAGAATGGCAACTCAACTTGGATGAACAGGTCTGACAGCAAAACTTCATTGGGGTCGGAATATTACATATATATACATATCTATATTTTTAAAAAAAACACTTTATAATATTTGTATAATATATATTATAATGCTTGTTTTTAAGTTCATAGCTGTGAACTCTATACAATTTGAATAAGACATGAAATCACTCTGTGGACATGCCACAACATAATCGTCACTAAGCAGTTAATTGTGACGTCAAAAGACAGCACGACTGATGCATACATTTTTAGTTAAGACATAAAAACAACTTGAATTCGATTCTGGCTTTTGTGTGAGGTTTACAACTAAGACTGATTTTAGCTCACCAAAAAACCAGCAGGAGGTTCACGATTCTCATATGAAATCAAATACATGTCACTGATCTGTACAATCTCTATATAGGTAATACAAAATCCCAAATTGTGTCATTTCTGATTTAAGATTAACATTCAGAGGCACAAACATGTTCAGTTATGGAGAAGTGCTCAGAAATAAAAATTCATTTGGAACTCACAATAATGCTCAGGAGATCAATTAAGAGATATTGCATTATAACAAATGCTTAGACATGAGACCCTATGTACATATATATATTACACAATGTCTTGTCTGATATCAGTATGTTTGGCACAGTGTGTATTAGCTAGTAACTGTGTTGGACAAACTACAGGAAGGCTACTCTACACAGCTCAAAATCGACCATAATTCAAATCTGGTTGCACCACAAGCCAGTCAGTGGCAATAACGGAACAAAGTTTTCGATGTAAATTGTTTCCAGTAATCCAGCAGTCTTCCTGACAAAGGAAGATGGCAGGTATACAATAGCTGTCTAAACTAGATACCCCTGGGACCACATAATAATTCAGCTGATTTTTAGAGAGTCCACTTCTTATACATTGATATTGTCGGATCCAAACTATTAACCAATTTAGACAAAAATTTAGATTGGGCAAAGTCTAGTTATGATATAAAATACAATGAAAACTACAGTAACATCTGGTTCCTGTTTGAATTTTGCATGGAATTTCATTCAATAAATCAAACATTTGAGTAATATCTGAAACCCAAATATCTCTATCAAAGAAAATATTATAAAATTAAAAATATTAAGTTTCACAGTGCATTTCTGTTTTAAAAGTAAATGAAATTAAGTTTAATTTTGACCAAAAAAATCATAATTTCTCAAAGCAAAATTGTTAAGGTCATATGCATTGAAACCTGCGTTTACTATCAGGATAAGGACTGACACCATGGGTTGTTCCTTAGTGTGAGGGTGGAACAGGATAAACTACTCCTTGGGATTGTAACATGTCTGATATATAAAGTTCTTGCTTACAGATCAGGCCTTTAACCTTCAGGCCTTACTCATACTTGCTGACAGTCTGGAACAACGGGATTATTTTTGCTTTGAAAAATGATAGGTCCATAATATGGATAAAATCAAACACACAAGAAATATGAAGAGATCGTTGCATGTGAACTTTTAAAGAAAATTAACAAGTAATAGGATTTGTAATTTTTGGTGGCCAAATGCCTCATGGCCCCTTTTAAAAGATTTCTAATGTTACTCATTTTACCTCATCTAAATCCTCCTTTAGCACTGTCGCATGTAATACTGAGACATACATAATGTACAAAGTCGTACAACTGCTTACTCGTGTAATATTAAATGCATAAATCTAGTATTGCATAAAACAAACAAATGCTCTTATTAATACACAATCTAGATTTGAAATAAGACACTCTTTATCCAGTACAAATGTTACTCAACAGCCAGCTGGTTAGACACTGCTGGTTACCCTCACTATTGACTTGGGCATTTAAACTTTGGCAATTTTTACAGACTTAGAACTAGATACAATGAGGTGAAAAATCTGTGTCCTGGTATCTGGGAAAAAATTCTACAGGTTTTCCATGATCTTAACAAGAAAATGTTAAATATTAAATCTTCAAGCTTCCTGTTTCCTCAGATGTTAAAATAGATATACAACTAAAAATAATTGCATTAATCAGAAATTAAATTTTTCTGCAGTGATTACCAAACCTACTAATTTAAACCACTCCTATACTGACTAAGGATACAATTCAGAAAGATGAACCTTATCTGTAAGATGATGTTAGGATGAACAGATTCTCAAATAGCTAGTGACCTAATACATCCATACCCCCGACCCTACCCCCATCCTAGCCTGATTACCATGCCCACAGCACACTTATTCATGGAGTCTTAATACATCAAATCATTGGATGATCATGATTAATTATCTTTTAAATAATTCTGTTCACCTATGACAGGGACGTATAATGGTATTACATTCATCGAGATAGTCCTATCCACGGGTCTCTAAAGAACTTATAGTAGAGCTGTTTTCAGTCAAAACCAGTGAACCATACCCTGTAATTGTTGCCTATTTGTACACAATATTAATGCAAGCATATTAGCAATAAGTAACATTTTCTTCCACATATTATTGCATTCAATAACCCGAAATATTGCATAATTTATCTAAAATGCATATATTTAGTGAATTCGTTTTCACTGACAGAGATTTATATTCCATATAGATTCTAGTACTTATATTGAGGATTCCATACCAGTTTTTCAAAATCTATCATCAATTAAAAATTTCATTGTGGATAAATAATAACTTACAATTACTACTATTGATTCAAAAGAACCACCAAAAGAAATATACATGCTAAAAAAATCTTATTATTATGGTAAAGATAGAATTTAAAAGCTCACTATGTATTGAGGAGAGGACTTTATTAAGTTGTAATAACTTGTTGTCCAATCCATTTCTATATTTGTACAATAAAATATGTTTAAACTAACTTAAATAGCTCTCGTTAAAATTTTGATAAAGTTTGTCAAGATATGATTGCTTAAAATCAAAACTCATGGATTTGTTTGTTTCATACCTTAGTTATGGTAAATATATTGTTTGCCTTCAGAAATCACTTTTAATTGAAATCTGCAAGTTCTTTTCAAACAGAGGAAATTTCTACTTGAAATTAATACAATATTTCTTTTTTAAATGATTTCAAAATTTATTTGACTTTCAAAAAAAATGAGCAAATGTGAATGTGAACTGTTTATCTACACAACAATGTATCATTCAAGATATGAAGATATCAGAAATTTAAGAAATCACCTTATTAAGCTATGAAATATTGTGCCTTTCTGGATTTCTATAAAATCCTGTTAGATTTGTCCGACCTAATCTATTGTGTTGCCTTCCTCAACATTCTGTCTAGAACAATCCATATCACCTGTGCAAAAAGCAGTGGAGCTGCCTTCAAGTGTGTTTGTAGTATCCAGAAAACTGGAATCTCCAATGCTTTGTAAACTGGTAACAGTTGCATTCTGTAGATTTGATGACTTCTCCCTGGTGGAATTTTTGCCTTTTTCCTTTTCTTGGTCGGTATGCAGATTATTGTCCTGAACTTGCGATGTTGACACTAGATTATCTCCCTTAGACTGTTCTGTATTTTCCTGAACATTACAGTTATCACCAGGTTTTATCTTATTATGATCTGATTTCTCTAGTCTTTTCCCACCACTTCTGTGTTTTAACCTCTGTGATCTCTCATGTCTCTGCGACCTACTTTCAACTAGACTAGACATAGATGCATTGCTATCCTCGTCATCGCCATCTGCAGCATTATTTTCCTCCTCATCTTCTCCAGGCTCCTCCCCATTCTCACTTGGCGAGCGTTGCCATGTTCGGAAACGACAGAGAAGAGCAGGATCTAAGTGACAGGGAGGTGGGAGAGAGGAGGGGGGTAGAGGCTGTAGCAGGGAGCGAATAAGACCGTCCCTGAGCTCGCCTCCAAACACCCTTGACTTGTGGAGGTTATCAACTACAGGAGGAACACTCCATGGACTGGGCTGATCACATAGTGACAGGAATGAATCATGTTTTGTTCTCTGTGATGAATATTCATGTTTGTCACCAAGGCTTAAATCAAGTCCTCCGCGCTCGTCTTGTTTTCGGTAGCGAAGAAATGGGGAATACTCTCCAAACTTGTCAGCAGATGGCCACTCTCCATCATCAGACCTGTCAACAGATGTTGTTTTGTCTTTATCATAGTCCTTGTCCCCTAAACCGGGTCCCCATCCCCTGGTAATGGTGGCGCCTCTATCTGGTCGTGGCCCTTCTGAACTGCCATCTTGATACAGCTCCTCCTGACTTGACCTCAGTGCCTCTAACCACGTCATGCTTGGCTGGTCCAGCTACAGCAAAATGACAGCAATCCAAATACTTTTATCAACTAGCAAATGGCCACAATGAAATTATTCTATAAAAGCAAAATTTCTACGATCACAATGTTTGCAACTGTATAATTATATACAATTTTTTGTAACTTTCATTTCATCTATTGTTTTTGTGAATAAAAATTCCTGTAGTTTTGAGTTGTAACATTGCAATGTTTATTTTAAGGATAAACTTAGTATAACCAAAACAAACTTTTGGATCCCAGGTATACAATTTAACATAAAAAAAAATTCAATTGATTAACAGCTAGATCTTATTTAGAAACAAGTTTCCATGCCAAATTTAATTTCAAAATTCTTTTGTAACATATATTTGCAATAATACAGAAGACAGCTAAATTATTACTGAATATATAATAATAGTGATTTTCAGTTACCTGCTGTGCTGGATCAAAGTAAGGAAACTTGCGAGGCCTTCCTCTTTTGTTGGGTAGAAATGCCTAAGACCAATCAAGAAAAATGTTTAACAACATTGATACATTCACACTTGCAATGTTATTCAACTTGTTATAACCTTACAAATTGGATAATAAAACTAAACCTTAGATATCTGTTTATCGCAACATCATTTTATTGTTCTATATTTAATCTGATGTAACAGGCTGATTTAGTAGATAATTTAACTCAGTCTTTATCAATCTGTTTTTAGTCTACCCAGATACTGATAATGAAGAAATCCATTACTTAAATTTTCAAAATTGATTTATTTGAAAATTATAATAAATCTTTTTGAAAAAGCATACAGTCGTGTGTCGCCTGTCAAACCAAAACCTTCCACATACATGTACAGAGAAAGGGCACAACATCTTCTGTATAACAGCCAAGGCATGTCTAACGCATTCAGATTGTGGATATCACACATTTCATAGGATTCAAACTTATTTTTGAACATCTTCCTCATAGAAATTTCCCTAAAGGGAGATAACTTACCTGTTTGTGTACGTCTTGCCTGAAGTCCACCCCAAAGAACACTGTAGTACCCTAGTTAAGGACAAATCTTACACTGAAACCAAAGACCCAGTGGTGACTGCCCAAAGGCACCTCCATGCAAAAGTGCCATGTTGTACTTGTTGAATTCTAGAAACTTGTACCTTATAATTACAACACACCAGGATATTAACAATCACTGATGTTAAACAGTCTTAATCGTACGTGTAGAACAAGGGCGTATATACCCGCTCTAAACATCTCAACACAACAGTAGCTGATAAATTGTCACAAATTTATAGATCATGAACTGCCACTAAAGGATATGTTTTGTATTTTCCTTTGCGCTTCATTTCCACATTTGGAAAGAGGACGCGGATGGCACGGTTACATTGCACACCCCAGTGCTGTACATCCGGTTCTTCAATACGACCCTTCAATAACTCCAGTATCTCGTCTCGTGACACCCCAGACTCCAGATCTCCTGTCCATTGTACTAGTGCTGTAGTAATAGACATAAGGTAGGGAGTACATTACTGGTTATAAGTTACTAGACATATACTTCATATATATATCTACCATGGCTGTATCAACATTAATTTAACTCTTAACACATTTTGTTAGAGGCATATGTCATTTATGACCCATAAAATATGTAGCTGAGAGACTTGGCTGAATCATACTGTGCACTAATCTTTTGGACTGTTTGATATAATACTTTTCTTGCCCTTTAAGGGATCCATCAAGTTGTCATATGAATTATGCAACTTTTGTAAGGAATAAATTCAGCATCCTGATCTAACAGCTGTAATAGTTGAGTGTATCTTACTACAAGATTTTGTTACGTACAGTGAAGATGGCCGAGGATTTTCTCCATGTCCTGTGACATGTCCCGCAGTGGTTGGTACGTCACACACTCACTATCGCTCACTTCCTCCTGCTCCTGCACATGCTCATTGAGGGCCACACCGAAGAAGAAGGTCGTATCTCAAGGTCAAGGTCAATAACAATAAAACCTCATTCTAAAAAACATCCATTGTATACTCATCTTGTTTTATTTTATTCTGAGTTAAGATTTTTGAATAATGTACGCTTAAACTATTTAATGTGACCTCAATCAAAGCCAATTATCTTGCCCTTGCACTAGGCCTGGTCAACACGTTTTAAACTGCTGTGTTTTGAGGATGCCCTTGTTTGATCGGATACTTTTCGTATTTTCCTTTTGAATATTAAATAGTAAATATTTGTACTAGCATAAACCCCTGTATTTGGCCATTAAGAAAGATGTATTTTTGTGTTTGTTAAATAAATCTGACAGTTTTTGTTCTTACCACTGGCTTCCCAAAAAGATTTTCTTTTTCTTGACTTCCTAGTGGGCCAGTAAAAGAAAATTTTCTGTGTTATATTTGCCCTTGTATTGGGACAGTAAAAAAGGATATTTTTTGTACTTCCCCTTTCGCTGGGCCAGACTGTGGGGGAACTGTTCCCTGACAGCTTTGTTACATGCAGGTCCCCACTGTGTGGCCTCGGGTAGACTTAGAATGACACTGATCTTCTGGAGGAGCAAGTCACGCGACACATTACCTCGTGGGTATACACAGATCAAATCTGGGAAAAGAATAAAAACTCTCCTGTTGTTTTGATTCCATTTACATTACAAAGCAAAGTGAGGGCATATAATGCAGTTTGATTTTTCTATATCATTAGTTTGATAGTATTAAATCTTTAAACATATAGTTTCACTATTAATTTTTTTACTGAAGGAATATTCTTTACTCAATTTTGCTTTTAATTTCTCCCAAGAAATAAGACAAACCTGGTAATATTTCTTTTATCTTCCACATCTTCCATGATTCCCCACGTCCATCAGACACTGCATCTCCCGAGTCAAGGTCAGGAACCTGCCCATGCTCAGTATCAAAATGTAGTCTGTACTCTGACATATCTGCACAGCCAAAATCACACAGTGAACAGTTGTACATATACACTGGGTCCCGCGAACAGTAGGCAGACCCCAGAGCAGAGGAGCTGTGTTCCCCATTCCTATTGGATGTCTGTGGTGGTATTGGCCAGTCCGTAGCTGTGGGACATTTGATTGGCTGGTCAAGTCCCCTAAAGCCGAGCTGTGATTCAAAGTACTGACGTATCATTGAAGCTGTTTTTTCCATCTCTTCTTCCCGTACCCCTGGGGCATACTTTAGGGGTTGGGCATGATCTGGGTACATATTCACCACAGGGGGAGCGGTTGGGCGGGAACCTGGTCCCAAGGGTTTGGGAGACCTAGCACATGGCACTGACCTGTCGTCAGTGTGTGGACTCCATGACTCATCCCTTCTCACCCATGATGATCCTCGAGGGTAAAACCCTTCCCCTTCCTTTCCTTGACCCCCTTCCTTTGCTTGACCTCCAGGGAAAGACTGGTCACCTTCCCTCCTTGAACTATGAGGGCAATGTCGTCCTCCACCTAAGCCTCTGGTTTTTCCTAGGAGTCGTCTTTTGCCACCATTCCCAGACCTGCCAGGGCTTCCCGAGACATCACTGTCATTGTCGCACTCATCTGAACCCCAGCCCTCCTCACAATCTGCCTGGTTTCTTAACACAACTGAGGCTGCTCGCTTTCTTTTGTTTTGTTTTACCCTCACCATCTCTTTGTCCTCCTTTGGATCCTTATCATCTTCTTTGTCTGCCTTGTCATCAACCATCCCTTCCTTCTCGCCGCTCTCATCCTCCTCTAACACTTCCATCTTATCATCAGTTTTTTTCTCAAATTTTGCATCCTGTATTTTGTTCATTGAATACATTTTGTCTTTCTGTTTTTCTTCATTTGTTATGGACACCTGATTATTTTTATTTCCTTTTGAATTGCCATATTCTTTGTCCATCTTAGTCAGTGAATTTCCTATATGAAACCCAGAAGTTTCAGTAAGAAAGGACAGGTGTCCCCTTGGTGTCCATCCAACAGGTTCTTTATACTCAGTTGACTTCTTTTCCGGCTTCAAACTTTGACCGTTATTGTCTGTTGACATGGCTACTACTGGCTGATCATCAGGTTCGGTGTGGTCTGCAGCCTTCAACTTGCTTGTGTGACTTGAGCTTGAACAATGGGTTTGGAATTGCATTTTTACCTGTGACTTCCAATTGCACAGTTGACAGAAATAAACAATGTTGCCTCCCTCTCTGACTAGCTTTGTGAACTGGCCGAATTCAGCTGTGTAGCAGGGCGCCATTATGATGGGGTTCGTAAGTGGACTGAGACGCTGTGAACCGTCCTTGTCTGGTTTGTTTGAGGCGAGGATCTGATCAGTAAGCTTCTGGAGGTGTGTCATGTTTTGGGTTGGAGCCAGATGTACACTGCGCTCCACTCCATGGGTAATCACCAATTTCGGTGGATGGGGCGCCGTTTCTTGGTCATCGGTTACATTAACATCTTCGACCAACTTCTGACTCCCTATTTCCAAGTCATCTGAATCTGACCTCAAAAAAGTTGGTGACCTCTTTTGACTTTTGAAATTATCATGAGATCTGGACTTAAACGCTGGGGGTATCCGATTTGGAATCTTTTGGCATTTTTTACTGATTTTATCTTGTGGTTTTTCATTTTCATTGTATGTATTAGTATGTTCCGAGGATACATGAGTGCGAAGGTCCTCCACAGTACCAAACCGCAGACAACAATGTCTACACTCCTTGAGCTGGTCATTGTTGGGCAGGTGCTCTTCACTAACATGTGACAGGAAGCTGTCGCGTGACGTCAGTATAGAGGGCAGTGTTGTGCACAGTTTACATTTATACAACACCTCAGCATACTGCATTAAGTTCTCCATAGAGTTATGTAATACATGTGATACTTGAGACAATTTAGTCTGGGACTCGAACGTATCTGTCTTAGAATCCTCACCATTGTTAAAACTCCGCTGGGGGCTTTTATCTTTGAGATCAATGACCTGGGAGTTGGATGTGAAGTTCTCCTTGTTTTCTGTACTTGAATCTGATGATTCCACAGAACACTTTCTTGACTTTCTGGAAAAGATATTTGTAGCACTAGGGTCCCTATGGTGAATAAGTCTGTCTGATTCATGACCCTGACTTGTTGATGAACATAAAGCATTTTCACTCATGCTTTTGTAATTCCACAATGAACAAACTTTCCCAGAGTTCAAGGCCATTTCCTTATGACCTTGAACCCTATTTTGAATGTCATTTTGCTGTTCTTTCCTGTATGTATCACTAGAAGTACTACTTTTGAATTCTTTTCCATTTTGAAAGGATTTATCTGTCTTTATGTCTGATTCTCTGACATCTTGCTGCACCCTCGTAATAATGTCTTTATCACTTTCACCAGTAGGTCCATCACAAGTAGAGTTCTCCCCCTTTGATGAGACTTTATCACAGTTGTCACCAGATCCATCTGAGCTTTGGGCACTGCTTAGTAAGCTCTGATTAATGGTAAGATTGTTGTACTTTTCTTGAGCCCATGGACTGAACAAAGGTTTATTTTCAATCTTGCTTTCACACTTATTCTGACTCACATGATCTTGACCTTCATAACTGTTCTCCTCTGTGACATCAGGTTTGTCCGGGGCTGAGGAGCTGTACTGGTCCAGTCGCCAGGGAGTGAAGATTTTGTGAGTGCCAGCATCCCTGTCTGCCTTCATGATTCTATATTCTCTGTCTTAATTCAGAATGTTCCACGAACTGTGGATGTCTTTGTTTCTTTAGTGTATTCCATGAACTCCTACATACTGAACATCCTGTAACATATCAGTTATAAGCGTCAGTGTGATTACATCTGGTTATTTAAAAATAAATTACTGGTACCCCTACTTTAATCAATTCTACCCCATAAGTGGTTGGAGATTGGCTGATGGAAAATATTTCCTGCACTAAATTATGACCAGCAATGATGCAGAAAAAGTGTAAAACCGGTTATTGTTTATATCTAAGACTATCCAATGATGCGTTGTTGTATGGTTAAATTTGTAAATACAATTTCAAAGAAAACTTCAGTGTTGACAAGTGACATACCAGCTACGTTGTCCATTTTGTATCTAAGAAATAGGTTTCCTTTTTTTCTAAGGGTTCTAATTCTAAGTAGATCTACTCACTAGTGTTTTTTTTATCTTCAGTACTGGTTTAACAGTGGAAACAGAACTAAGACATAACCACAGCCAGGAGACTGCCAGTGTACATACTACTGACAAGTTAGTGACCAATATTAAGAATTGAGAACATTTACTTTGTAAAACTACCATGAACGCCCATGAGTGTAATGATCAATATATACAATAAATCCAACCAATAATGACATAGTGTTATGATATATACAATAAATCCAATCAATATATAACATATTGTTATGATATATACAATAACTCCAATCAATATATAACATAGTGTTATGATATATGCAATAAATCCAATCAATATATAACAGATGAACAGTTGAACACCTTGAATGTAAGGAGGTGAATAATTAAAACTTAGATAGGAAATTCAAGAAAGCACTTCTTTTTACCTTCAACTTTAATTATTCTTAGTAACTCAATAGCGTACAAGACAAAATACATATGTAATTCAACAAAGCAAAGTTTTCTTTTGGATGCACCATTGAAATAAGATTAAACTTTAAGTTTCTTTTCAATCAATCTGTTTCCATCTTCATGGTTTTAAAACAATTTTGTCACCTTTTAAAAAAAAAAAACTTTTACAAGACTAAATTCATATTAGCAATGAATGAAACTATATTTACTGAGAAGACAACATGTCTAACAGCTAAAACTCAGACTTCAAAATGTATTAGGTAACATAGTATGACCAAATACTATGGAAACACACATTCATGTAAGCAGATCAATGCAAACAAGAGCTGGTAGTAATATAAAATAAAGTCTGTATAGTATAACACCCTCACTACCATAACATTGTCTGTACAGTATAACACCCTCACTATCATAACCTTGTCTGTACAGTATAACACCCTTACTACCATAACATTGTTTGTACAGTATAACACCCTCACTACCATAACGTTGTCTGTACAGTATGACACCCTCACTACCATAGCATTGTCTTAACAGTAACCTCACTACCATAACATTGACTGTACAGTATGACACCCTCACTACCATAGCATTGTCTTAACAGTAACCTCACTACCATAACATTGTCTGTACAGTATGACACCCTCACTTCCATAACCTTGTCTGTACAGTATAACAGCCACACTACTGTAACATCGTCTGTACAGTATGACAACCTCACTACCATAACATTGTCTGTACAGTATAACACTCTTACTACCATTACATTGTCTGTACAGTATAACACCCTCACTACCATAACATTGTCTGTACAGTATAACACCCTCAGTACCATAACATTGTCTGTACAGTATGACACCCTCACTACCATAACATTGTCTGTACAGTATAACACCCTCACTACCATAACATTGTCTGTACAGTATAACACCCTCACTACCATAACATTGTCTGTACAGTATAACACCCTCACTACCATAACATTGTCTGTACAGTATAACACCCTCACTACCATAACATTGTCTGTACAGTATAACACCCTCACTACCATAACATTGTCTGTACAGTATAACACCCTCACTACCATAACATTGTCTGTACAGTATAACACCCTCACTACCATAACATTGTCTGTACAGTATAACACCCTCACTACCATAACCTTGTCTGTACAGTATAACACCCTCACTACCATAACATTGTCTGTACAGTATAACACCCTCACTACCATAACATTGTCTGTACAGTATAACACCCTCACTACCATAACATTGTCTGTACAGTATAACACCCTCACTACCATAACATTGTCTGTACAGTATAACACCCTCACTACCATAACATTGTCTGTACAGTATAACACCCTCACTACCATAACATTGTCTGTACAGTATAACACCCTCACTACCATAACATTGTCTGTACAGTATAACACCCTCACTACCATAACATTGTCTGTACAGTATAACACCCTCACTACCATAACATTGTCTGTACAGTATAACACCCTCACTACCATAACATTGTCTGTACAGTATAACACCCTCACTACCATAACATTGTCTGTACAGTATAACACCCTCACTACCATAACATTGTCTGTACAGTATAACACCCTCACTACCATAACATTGTCTGTACAGTATAACACCCTCACTACCATAACATTGTCTGTACAGTATAACACCCTCACTACCATAACATTGTCTGTACAGTATAACACCCTCACTACCATAACATTGTCTGTACAGTATAACACCCTCACTACCATAACATTGTCTGTACAGTATAACACCCTCACTACCATAACATTGTCTGTACAGTATAACACCCTCACTACCATAACCTTGTCTGTACAGTATAACACCCTCACTACCATAACATTGTCTGTACAGTATAACACCCTCACTACCATAACATTGTCTGTACAGTATAACACCCTCACTACCATAACATTGTCTGTACAGTATAACACCCTCACTACCATAACATTGTCTGTACAGTATAACACCCTCACTACCATAACATTGTCTGTACAGTATAACACCCTCACTACCATAACATTGTCTGTACAGTATAACACCCTCACTACCATAACATTGTCTGTACAGTATAACACCCTCACTACCATAACATTGTCTGTACAGTATAACACCCTCACTACCATAACATTGTCTGTACAGTATAACACCCTCACTACCATAACATTGTCTGTACAGTATAACACCCTCACTACCATAACATTGTCTGTACAGTATAACACCCTCACTACCATAACATTGTCTGTACAGTATAACACCCTCACTACCATAACATTGTCTGTACAGTATAACACCCTCACTACCATAACATTGTCTGTACAGTATAACACCCTCACTACCATAACATTGTCTGTACAGTATAACACCCTCACTACCATAACATTGTCTGTACAGTATAACACCCTCACTACCATAACATTGTCTGTACAGTATAACACCCTCACTACCATAACATTGTCTGTACAGTATAACACCCTCACTACCATAACATTGTCTGTACAGTATAACACCCTCACTACCATAACATTGTCTGTACAGTATAACACCCTCACTACCATAACATTGTCTGTACAGTATAACACCCTCACTACCATAACATTGTCTGTACAGTATAACACCCTCACTACCATAACATTGTCTGTACAGTATAACACCCTCACTACCATAACATTGTCTGTACAGTATAACACCCTCACTACCATAACATTGTCTGTACAGTATAACACCCTCACTACCATAACATTGTCTGTACAGTATAACACCCTCACTACCATAACATTGTCTGTACAGTATAACACCCTCACTACCATAACATTGTCTGTACAGTATAACACCCTCACTACCATAACATTGTCTGTACAGTATAACACCCTCACTACCATAACATTGTCTGTACAGTATAACACCCTCACTACCATAACATTGTCTGTACAGTATAACACCCTCACTACCATAACATTGTCTGTACAGTATAACACCCTCACTACCATAACATTGTCTGTACAGTATAACACCCTCACTACCATAACATTGTCTGTACAGTATAACACCCTCACTACCATAACATTGTCTGTACAGTATAACACCCTCACTACCATAACATTGTCTGTACAGTATAACACCCTCACTACCATAACATTGTCTGTACAGTATAACACCCTCACTACCATAACATTGTCTGTACAGTATAACACCCTCACTACCATAACATTGTCTGTACAGTATAACACCCTCACTACCATAACATTGTCTGTACAGTATAACACCCTCACTACCATAACATTGTCTGTACAGTATAACACCCTCACTACCATAACATTGTCTGTACAGTATAACACCCTCACTACCATAACATTGTCTGTACAGTATAACACTCTTACTACCATAACATTGTCTGTACAGTATAACACTCTCACTACCATAACATTGTCTGTACAGTATAACACCTTACTGCCATAACATTGTCTGTACAGTATAACACCCTCACTGCCATAACATTGTCTGTACAGTATAACACCCTCACTGCCATAACATTGTCTGTACAGTATGACCCCCTCACTACCATAACATTGTCTGTACAGTATGACACCTCCACTGCCATAACATTGTCTGTACAGTATGACACCCTCACTACTGTAACATTGTCTGTACAGTATAACACCCTCACTACACTAACATTGTCTGTACAGTATGACACCCTCACTACCATAACATTGTCTGTACAGTATGACACCCTCACTACCATAACATTCTTTGTACAGTATGACACTCTCACTACCATAACATTGTCTGTACAGTATAACAACCTCACTACCATAACATTGTCTGTACAGTATAACACCCTCACTACCATAACATTGTCTGTACAGTATAACACCCTCACTATCATAACCTTGTCTGTACAGTATAACACCCTCACTACCATAGCATTGTCTGTACAGTATGACACCCTCACTACCATAATCTTGTCTGCACTGTGTTACATTATTACATTTTACATCCATACTGTTCCAAAATATCTGGGGTCATTAAATTCTATAGGATTTGTTTGTAAATGTATTCCACAGATTTTTTTCTTTTTATTAATTTGCCATTGGAATAATCAAAAGACTGAACGAAGCCAATCCTGGCGACATTGGCCGGTAGGCATTTCTTCCCAGGATGATAAAG